GCACGGCATCTTGCCAGTATACCCAGCCTCTTTGCATGACACCTGTGGCTGCCCACCCTCCCTCCCAGTACACACACACAGCCCACAACCCGCATGGTGGCTCAATTTGTATCACAGTGTCCTGATGCCGGCAGGTGTTTGATGTGCCAGAATCTGGAAAGCTGAGCCAGGCCAATCCTTCCAGCTTTTCATCCACCAGCTGGATGGCTCACCCATTCCTTCTGTGACATGTCCAAGGCAGTGTGGTCCAGACCCTTGGCACGCCTCGGAAGCTGGGTGCTACATGCCCCCTGCTGCCATTTGAGCATCCTCCATAGACTCCAAAGCTGTGTGGAGGCTCGCTGTGCTGGGTGTGCATGTGTATGCATACATAAGGTGATTTCTAGGGGCCCTGTCTGACACCTGGGACAGCGCTTGGGGTTGAAACATTTGTGCACCCTGCCCTGAACCTTTCCAGGCAATACTGGCATATAGGGTGTGTGTAACATGTTTTCCGTTTTGGGTAAATGAGCCTAGAACCAGGTACACTCCCTCTTGTGTCTCTGCAACCATGCTAGACATCCCTTTTAAAATTATGGTTCCTGGGAAAGGGAGAAAGAAATCCCCTGTGCAGATTGGAACCATTGGCCTGGGAGTGTTTTATAGCTCAGACTGCAGCACTGAGTTTTCTGGCTTGTTGATGCTGCCCAGCCTTAACTCTGCCTTTCCTGTGTTTCATCTGGTTGCTGCCTAGTTATCTGTGTTTCTTCTGTGTTGCTCTGTGTGGTAACAGGACTGCCTCCAGCTCAGCCCAGGATTTTGTTAAATCCATTCCAACCCTTTTATATGAAGCATCTTTCATTTGCTCACTGATCAAATTGATGCTTTGAAATAGAATATAATTTCTGTTTGCAGATGTGCATTTGTGTGAATCCCCTGCAACATTAAAAACAAAAACTGCTGACATGACTTGGAAAGAGCTGGACCACTGCAGAACAAGTTCAGATGCATAAAAATCCCAACTCATGTGATTCTGTTGCAGCTTTTTCTGACATCCCTAGTTCAGCTTGTGTCCTTTGATGCCCACCTGGGTGCCATTGGCAGCGCTGCTCCTTGTTTGGGCAGTGGGCTAGTGGAGTTTCTAGAGCCACTGGGGCTGTCTGCTGTTTTGGAGATGTTTTAAGTTGTGTGTTTTCATGTCTCCTTCCTGGCTGAGTGAGCATTGGATGCAGTAGCCTTTCATGCAGCCCAGCAGCTGGGTATCTCCACCCTCCTGTAGAGATACAGGATTCCACTGCACAACAAATGGGTTAAATTCAGTCTTCAGCCTACTTAGCATAGAGCCATTCAAATGAATGGGACTTACGAGTATGTTGGTCATGAGTCATGACTGCAAGCACATATGTTTAATCAACTCAATTTTTTTAAATCTTCGATTACAGCCCAGTTAAATAATAATAAAAATTATAAACCAATGATGACTGCTATTAAACATACAGTTGCATCATATGAATTACAAGATACAGCCAGATGTAAGGTATTAATTTTTCCCCAAGAAATACTAGAACTATGCTTTATATGAAAAATGGGTAAAAAGTGACATCAATGTTCATATAAAATATTAGTGCCCAAACTCCAGTGTTGTAATTTTTAAATTAAAAACCTCCACTTATTCCAGTCATACATCTTGACTTTTATGTAAATTTGATGTATTGTGCATTGATTTTAAGCATGCCATGTTCTCTTTCAGACGGGGTTTTGTTAATTCTTCTACAACTGTCCTAATCTTTTCAATATGCTATGCTGTACACAGAAGAGAGTGAAAAGGCTAAAAGACATTTGCAAAGGCAGAATTGGGGAATTTCCTGGAGTATGATTTCATGAGACGTTTTCATGTGTGATAGAGCGCATCTCCTTGTGCATTTTGGTATAAGGGGTGTTCTTGTTGCAATTTGCTTGAGGTTAAGTTGGTTTCTGAGCCAGATTGTCTAGTCTATGAATAAGTTATCTATCCTTTTGTATGCAACTTGTTATGTGCTGCCTGTGGTATGACAGCAAGAAGGAATAGGATAATTTTATCTGTGCTCAGAAAGGGTCTGTAAGCACTTCACACTCCATGATTGAAGATGGCAGCTACTAAGAGAGCTGAGGCACTTTGAGGACAAAAGCTTAACCAGCAGGGTGTAAACTCCTGCGTGCATATTTAGGAATCTAAAGCAGCAGCTGGATTCATTCTGTGCAGTGTTGAACGTGCCGTGCAAAAGCAACATGAAAGCATGTTCACCGTAAGAGCAAATTGCCCTACTGCAAATTGCTCCTACCTTTCAGGCATAGGATAGTTTCAACCTAAATGAATAATTGGAACCCCCCCCCCCCGCCCCCAAGAAGCATCCTGCATGCCTGAAATTTCAGCAGTTTAGAAATTAAGGTAGGCCATGATTCATCCCAAGTACGCCTTCTTCCTATGGAGCATCTGGTGCAGGACAGTTAAAAACACGAGCCAGGAAAGTCCCCAGTTCAAATGATACCTTCTCTGTGAAGTCACTGGGAGGGCCTTACCCGAGTCAGTGTTTCTGAGACTCGCCATTTGTAGCACTGGGCCAAAATGATTTGATTTTTTAAAATAAAATCATCAAACCATTTTGGTTCTGAAGCAGTACTGTTTGGGCAGCTGAAATGGAAACTGAACTGTAAAGCAAGTTTTCAGCAGGGAGAAGGAAATGGCTGAATTGTTTGGGGAAATTCAGGATCAAGCTTGGCATGAATCCAGGCTTAGTATAGACCTACCAAAATCAATCAGACTTCAGTGCTAACATGTACCATTGACTTTAGTGGTTTTATCCGCACTGATTGAATTTAATGGGTGTAGACAAAGCATGATTAAATCCGGATCTAACGCATGTTAAAAAAAAGTGCAAATGCACAGGCACTGTCTTTCTTGCTCTTAGCGAAAGAATGCTAATGGCTGCTGTCTACCATTCCCCTCGCCCTACTTTGTTGCCATCTGAGAAAATAAATGTTGGCAGCCAGTAGCACGCTCTCCATCATCATTCTTCCTGAGAGAGGAAGGAGCTTGTCTGCACTTGACTGGAAATTAAATAAAACCAAAAAACGGAGGAAAGCTGAAAGAAGGCCCTGCCAAAAATCAATGTGCTGACTCTCCTGTCCCTCTCCACAGATGCCCCTCTCCATTTCACTGCCCTTGCCAAAATGTGGGTGGACTGGGAAGGGGCATTTTAATTGAGCAAAACAGTATTGACCCCATTCTTACAAGTTGGGTGTGAGGATTTCCCAGCCTTCAAAAAGGGCAGGGGGAAAGGAGAATGTGGGGAACAATGAAACAGTCAGTCTTAATTTGATACAAGAGAAGGCAACATACTTGGTCATTAACCATTTAGTCTCTAACCATCTTGACAACAGTGATTAGTAAAATATGGCAATCCTTGTCAAGAATAAATCCTGCTAAACTAATCTTACCTCTTATACTGTGGCTTGTGGGAAGGCTGCAGACATAATTTCTCTCAGTTTCAGCAAAGCATTTGGTCAGGTTTCCCATAGTAAGTTGGTTAAACGGGTTGGACATCAAGTGAATTCACAGCTGGTTGGAAAACCAGACTTAAGAGTTCTCATTGCTAGCCCCATATGAATGGAGGGGGTTTCAAATTGAGTGTGTAGGGCTGTTTATTGAGTGCAGGGTGCTTCAACATTTTTAACAATTATTTAAATAAGGAGCTAGAGAGAATCTTTATCAGATGTGCAGAAGACACAAAACTGGGAAAGATAGGTAACACCTCAGATGACAAGAATATAATTCAAGTCCTAGAACTCAGCAGAGACAAATGCACAGTTCTGCTGTAGTGGATGTGGAATGAAATTCACAGCTTGAGGGCTACCTAGACTAATAAATAGCATCCTGTACAAGCAATTGTGTTGCCATCATGGGTCAGCTTCCTGTCCGCAGTATGGAACAAAGAATACTTTTTTGAAGATTTGTGCTATAGGAGAAAATTTGAAGATATATGTGTAGAAACAGGGGGTGGGGAGAACCTGCTCCTTTTTATGCAGTGCTGCAAGCACATTTTGCTAGGCAAGTCATATCCATTGCAGAACACATACTGTTATGTCAGGTTCACACAACAGCTTTTGCAACTGGTTTTTCAAACTAGCATGATTTTCCCTGTGTAAGCACAGGTCAAAGAGGGAACTTTTGGGAGAGCTGTCTCACCGTGGTTCCATCTGCCCAGGTGCTAGCTTCTTCAACTGCATTAACTGTAAAAGGTAGACATCAAAGGACCTACATGCCTTTGCCATAAATATTCCTTCCTGACTCATGCTGAGAAAATGAAACGCTGGAAGTTGCTGATTATCAAAAAATATTAAACATAGTTCAACAGTTTTTTAATCAACAAAATACTATGTTATACTTAAGATAATTCTGACTATTTTGATCCTGATTTGTAGCTTCCCATTATGGTTTCCTTGTAGTTAGCAAACCTTCTTATAGCAACCAAGTTGCAGTCGTGATCAGAGCTCTTGCAAAGATATCTGCATTGACACAATAACACAGTTCTTGTAAAACGTACCTTGCCTTTTTTTTTTTTTAACTAACAGTAAACATATTTGAGAAACTTTACAGGAAAGTATATATTTTGTTCAGGTCAGTTTTGCACAAATTACAAAAGCAAAAACCTAGATCACACTACTCTATTTTGGACAAAGGGATGCTTGGAGCTGTTGTCCAGTGCATCTGAAGGCCGCAAGTTAGGAGAAACTTAGGCTAGAGGTCCATAAACATATATGAAGCAGCATGGGCTACCTACTCTCTCATCAGCCTTCTATTAATCATTGGTGGGGTTCAGATATGTTGTTGTATCAGTTATAGGTACTTGGGCAAAGTGCCTTTCCATTTCGGCAAATAGCAGGTCCACAATTTGTCGTCCACGGCGATATTCCTTCTAAGACTAAATGCTACATTTTAATGTTGACTCTTTACAATTGAACCCTTCTACTTTCTCCCCCAGGAATTTATTAAGTGTCCCTTAGGAAGAACTGAGAGATCCAAATAGTGGCCATGGCCTCGCGTATAAGTTTGCGGATGCAGCTCATGCGAGAGCAAGTGCAGCAAGAGGAACAACGGGAACGCATGCAGCAGCAGGCCATGATGCATTACATGCAGCAGCAGCAGCAGATGCCAATGGCTCCAACCCCTGCCATCAACACACCCATTAATTTCCAGTCACCGCCTACTGTGCCGGGTGAAGTCTTAAAGGTACAGTTCCAGTACATGAAATCTTGGCAATCCCTCCTGAGGGAAGCAAATGAAATGGCTATTAAAGTTTGGCATTGTGAAAATAACTTTTCTGTTTACAAATCAGCAAATGCTATTATTTCAAATAAACATGTACGAATATGTGAAAGACAGATATGTAAGACTTTAGAATTGGAATTTATTGTGGTGGCAGTTCTTTTCTTTAATATAAAAGTATTGAAATATCGCATAAACACAAAAGATGGTACCCAAACAAACCCAATAATCTTCATAAAGATTTCTTGAAATGGATGAAGCAGTTAATGCTCGTGAGTTCTGTAATTTTCCTGTTCATGCATTGAACTTTTCAAGCCTTAGGTAGCTTTGTAGAAAAATAAAGCATGTTTTCCTGACATATATTTAGTTGAAAGTTATTGCCACTTTGTCCATGGCAACTGTCTCTCTTCCCTCCTGACTTTTCATGGTCATTTTTAGGTTCAGTCCTTCCTGGAGAATCCCACCACGTACCACCTGCAACGGTCACGCGACAAGAAGGTCCAAGAATATCTGTCTGAAACTTACGGGAACAAGTTTGCTCCTCTGCTCAGTGCTCCTTCTCCCAAGCCACCTCCTTCTGCCTCACCTGGTGTGAGACCAAGCCACGTCATGTCCTCTTCTGCAGGCAACAGCACCCCCAGCAGTCCCATGGCAATGCTCAACATTAGTTCCAACCCTGAAAGGGAGGTGTGTAAGTTATACTGCCTGGACATGGGCTTTAGATGGCATGTGGATCCAATCTTGCTTTGCTTGGTGCCTTACTGTAGGGGTTTATGACAAGTGAATTGGACCAGAACTGTCTGCACACACCCCTCCCCCCGAAAAAACATTGCTCCTAACACAATCCAGATCAAAGTTCATTTTAATTCTTGCAGTGTGAACAGAAAGCTCCTGTGCATTTGGAAGAATCCATACTCTTGAAAACCATGCTTTTGAATAGCACACAGATACGCTTTTATTAATAGGAGAAAAATGCAGGCATCAAAACATGCACATTTTGGGAAATTATGCAGGAAAACAAGCATGATTATTTCTGCATAAAATCCCTCACAAAGTTTGCAATCTGATACAGACACACATCAGAACAAGCTTTGAGATGGAATTCAGAGAATCTTGAGCTCAGGTTTTGCTAATTTGTGCATCCCTACAGATTAGTACATTTGTACAGCAGAACGCAAGAATGTTCGCTTTTCCTCTCTGATGGTTGCTTAAAGCAGAGCTTCTTGAACTAACCAGTCACACAGTTGTGCTGAACCCTTTCTGGATTGTATCATTTCATATTTGAATAAATCTAAATAAGAGAAAGCAGGTATATATCAGTATATATAAATGCAAGGAGCAAATCGAGGAGGAGACTGAACTAAAACTGTGTTCGGGAAGTTTATAGGGAATATGTCACAGCTCTCTTGCAATCTGAGGTCTAGCTACAGATGGACCACATGATTCTCCTGGTTGAATAACATGGTAATTAAGAAGGGGAGCAAAATGAAAGTTAAGATTTTGCATCACTTAGCCTTGTAGGAAGTAAGATAAAAACTGGCTCTGGAGGAATTTGCATTTCACATCATTCTTTTTCAATAGATGTTATAGGCCCTACAGATAAAGGGGCATATGAAACCATGCCTCCTGCCCTGAAAGGTGGCCTAGAAATATTTTGAATAAATACAAATATATCAAATAAAATTTAAGGCACTTAAACCTATGATTGTGTCTTCCATGTCTGTACACATACAGGCAAAATCAGTATTGAAAAAAATAGATTGAGAAAATCCTTCCTATGCCTGAAAGTCTACTTTTTCCTTCAGATAGATGACGTTATTGAAGACATCATGCAGCTGACAACTACAGTGGGATGTATTAACCCAGAAATTCATATGCCCAATACTGTGAGTGTGTTTGCTTTTTGCATCTTGCTTTTGGGCAGGGAGGGCATAGTGGAAAAAGGAAAGCAACAAGATCATTATGTCTCAAATTAAGGGTAAAAAAGATTTAGCAGAAATCTGTGAAAATGAGTTTTCTGTTTACAAATCAACAAATGCCACTATTTCAAATAAACATGTACAAATATGTAAAATACTGATATGTAAGACTTTGTAATTTGAATTTATTGTGAAGACATTCCTTTTCTTTCACGTTCATGGTGTTAAGATATGTATGCATGTGTGCAATCCCCAAAGGAGCCCAGGAATGGAGAAAATTGCTTGCTTTTCCTTCTCCCACTTCATCTCTGTGTATGATGACAGTGGATTTTGGGAGTGGTCCATTGAAGGTGCAGGTATCTTTCTGCCCTGGGCCATGCAGTGCCATCCCTACTGTTGGAGTCGCATAGTGCATAAGAATGGAGTTGTCAGTGTATGTGCTGTTTTGGGACTGCCGCTTCATGTTCCCACTTAATACCTGACATGTAGATGATGACAATGATGTAATAGATTTTTAAAATCTATTTATTTATTTATAAGATTGTCTATACCATCCTTCACTTTGAGTCCCAGGGCAGTGATACAATCACAGCACAGCATCATCTGAATTAACACAAATAAAACCTATCTTTAAAAAAGCATCAACACTTAAAATATCAGGCAAATAAAAAGGTTTTGGCCTGGTGCCAAAATGAATAAAGTGTCAGCACCAGGTGCACCTCACTGGGGAGCATATTCTATACCTTGGTGCCACCACAGAGAAGGCCCTTCTCCAAATCTTCTTCAAAGAGGGCTCCTGGAGAAGGGTTGGGTTAGGGTTAGATCTGGACCTCCAATCAGTGGGTGGGCAAGTATGTATGGAAGGTGCTCCTTCAGATAGAATATAAAGCTTACTGTATTTAAAAATACCTCTATGCAGTTTGCAAAAGAATTTAAACTCTTTTAAATATATAATAATGATATAACATTGATGAAAAAAATTAACATCAGTGCAACACCATACTTAATAAACTGGTCAATGCCAAGTCAAAGAAGGCCTGAGGAAAGAGAGGGGCCTTCCACTGGCGCTTATAGCATTCTACAGGTAGCTCCTGTGAAATACTAAGGGGAAAGACCTGCTTCAGTATTGCTGTGAGAAGGCCATCCGCAGGCCATGCTAGAAATCCTCCAGTGAATTTACCAGACTCCTAGGTCTGTACTGAAGTGGGCGATCTGTCACATGATAATCATGCAGGTAACAAAACATATGCATGCATCTCTCTAGAGAGAGATTAGAAGGAACTGCTACCCTGAGTCAGACCTTTAGTCCATTTAAACCCATGAGGTATGCTCTGACTACAGTGGCTCTCTGGAGCTTCGGACCAGCCCTGTTCCATCGGATCCTTTTAACTGGGAATGCAAAGGACTGAATCGGAGAACTTAACTGTGTAAGACACACTCTGTACTGCTGACTTGTGGTCAAAAGAGGACAGAGGCGCTTCACTTCTTGCACAGTGTGAAACTGTTCTGGGTGTAGAGAAGCAGGATCAGCAGGGATGGTTTTTGCAGTGTGTTATGGCAGTGGCCTGACCAGCTGTGCTCAGTGCAGGGCCTGGCCTTACCTGACCTGACCTGGCCAGAAAGAGGCTGACTGGGAAAGCCTTTGTCTCCCTTCCTATTACTCCAGGGACTCTCCTTGTTGTCATTCTTCTTTTATGTTCTAGTGTATGATGAATGTTAGTGTGGTGTGATGGTGAGAGTGTTGGACCAGGGACCTGGATGATCTGGGTTCTAGTCCCTACTTAGTCAAGAAGCTCAGCGGGTAACTTTGAGCCACTCATTTGCTCTCAGCCTAACCTACCACACAGGGTTGTTGGTGTGAGGATAACATGGAGGAGAGTAAGTCTACGTAAGCCAGTTTGGGTTCCTTGCTAGAGGAGGAAAAGTGGGATATAATTGCAATATTAATAATAATGGCCTTGCCATCCTTGTTAATGAGAAGAAGGCCAAAGTAGTGGATCCTGTGCCTTCCACCAAATAATTTGAAGCTTTGGCTGGAAACCCATGAGGAAATTAGTCTGTCTGATCTTGGGAAAAACTCCTGACTTGGGAGAGAGAGAAAATTCCTGCCTGATTTATCATTTGGCCATGAAATGAGGTTGGCAGGTGTTATCATGCAAATAGTATAATGTTGGGTCCTGCTTAGACAGATGGTTCAGACAGTCCCTTGGGGTTGTGTGAAAACAGAAAATCTGCATGGCTTAAATACTGAACTGGTATGGAGCTTATGGAAAATATCAGCCTAAATTAAAACCATAAACCAGATGAGCCATAGCTAAGCTATGGGGGCCGGGGGCGGGGGTTGAGTGGTAAATTCACTCTTTGGTTCTTTCCCAACAGCAAGTAATTTGGAGTCACCATTTGGCAGGAATGGAAAAGCTGCATTGTCACACACAGTTTTAGAATTGTGGAAGCTGCTGCTCTGTGGCAAAATCTTCTGGTTCTTTGGCGTGTATGCAAGCGCATGATCCACATAGGTGAAGGCATAGTGCATGGGTCACTTAAAATTGGTAGGAAGAGGATCAGATTAGTTTGAAGAACCTCTGCAGTTGTTCCTGCCTGGTGCCCACGTGGCACTACTACTCAGGCATTATTGCCTCTGCACGGGTTCTTTCCATGGATGCCAGTCCCATGTTGCTCCAGGTATGAGTGTGTGCAAGATATGTTGACTGAATGCATGAAAGGTCTACTAGGTCTGCTGCAACAATGCAGTCAGGTGAAATATCAGTAGCCGTGGAGGGCTCTCCATTTTAAAACTTCAACTATCAAGTTCAGTCGGGATGGACGAGCTGTGGCTATCCAGATGTTTTGGCCTACAACTCCCATGAACCCTCAGCACTGGCTATGGTGGCTAGGGCTAATAGATGTAGGCAAACACTTACGGAGGGCCAAAACGTTGCCTTCCCTGACCTACCTAACTTTTTATCACGTGGAAGAAATCCCCACCACTCATCAAAGAGAACTATATGGACTCTGCCATCCAGCTTGTGCCCAGTTGTTTAGCCCCTCATTTGATCACCCTGCACATTCTATGCTAAGACAGTTCTGTTTTGTTGCACTCTTTTCTTTTCCAGCTGCCACTGTCCAGCAGCCACATAAACGTGTATAGCAGTGACCTTCAGATGACGCCCTCTGTGGTGGGCATCACCAGCAGCTCCTGCCCTGCGGAACTCACACAGAAGCGAGAGCTCACAGGTAACCACTTGGCAAGGTGTATGGCCAGTCGATTCATGCCTGGGTTGAGTTGCTGGGGCCACATTCAGCTCTAGCTCGGCCACAGATTGTTGTTTATGGTGAGCCCATGTGCACTATGCCTTTATGCACACATGCACATGTACATTAAATGCCACTTTGGTTTCTTTTGGGTTTGACTGACACCTTGTTCTTTTATCTCCAGATGCTGAGAGCCGTGCTTTGGCTAAGGAAAGGCAGAAGAAAGACAATCACAATTTGAGTGAGTGATGGTTAAAACAATGAAGCTTCCCAAATTCCCTTCAATGCTCCCCCTCATGTTCACCGTTACTCATGCTCAATAGGATATCATCAATGACTCCGGTTTGTAGGCTGTATGGTAACAAAGCATATTAGCAGCATTTTCACATCCCAGCATCAAAATTTCACTGCTTTGTTAACTCAGCTATTTGTCCTGATGCAGAGAAGGTTTCCAAAATATAAATGGAGATGTGTTAGCAACACTCCACAATTGGCACATGTCCACAGAGCTGCTCTGTCCTTATGCTGACCTTTTATGTTTTCTTTTTCTGCCTTTGGCTGTTCTACTTGACACACAAGGGTGACCGTGCTATTAAACAAACCATTTTATCACCTTGCTGGTTTAGAGAGGAGGACCTTTCTGTTGTTTTTGATATTTACAGCAGTGTTGAAGCATAGTTTTAGGTAATTGTGCTATCTTGGTTGGGGAGAAATCTTCAACCGCATATTTATCTACTCAATTTAATTTTAAAAATCAAGACCTCTGTTTGTAATATAATTATAACTGAGCTCAAAGGAAAATCAGGTCCAAGCTCACTGCTGCTTTTGGATAGGCAAGGATAGCCAGCTTGTCAATGTGGGGGCAGCTTTAATTCTTTTCTTTCTTTTTTTGATATGTCATAGCATGAGATGAGGAACAACACTCAGTGATCCTTCAAAGATCACATTTTCCCAAATTTTGCAACAGAGCTTTCCAATAAAAATGCACACAAAATATTATGGAAACATGCATAAATGTGTATATGTAAACAGCATCCACAAATGCATTACATTAGAAAAAATGGTTGCAAATATAAATCTCTTAGTAAATTCTGAAGCAGTCCTTTTTCTCAATGTTCAGGACAACATAAAATCAAGTCTCAAAGTCTGGAAAGAACTGAAATCTGGAAAAATAGGAAAGCTAAAGGAAGCAAAATGGGCAGTTTTACCTATTCCTAGACATAAAACTTCCCTGAGAGCCAGTGTGGTGTGCTGCTCAGAATGCTGGACTGGGAACCTGGAAGGTCCGGGTTCCTAGTCCCCCCTTGGCCCTGAAGATCCATTGGGTGACTTTGAGCCGGTCACTCACTCTCAGCCTAACCTATCTCAAGGGTTGTTGTTACAAGGACAAAATGGAGCTATGCACAGCACCTTGGGTTCCTTGCAAGATGAGAAAAGGTGAGAAATAAATGCAATGCAACAGTGTAGTATAATGTCGCAGCAACAACAACCCACTACTGTGATTCTTTACAATGTTACCCATCACCCACTTCCTGAAACAGTGAGAAGTTCCAAGGGTGGTGCTACTGGGCTATAACTTCCCTTTGAAGGAGCAATCAGTGGTACGTTATGCTGGTTTTGTAATATTTGGTTTATTTATAATTATACTACTAGAGGATAAGCGGAAGCAAGTGACATGCACACCCAACCAGGCTGCAAGCCTTTTCAAGACCCAGATATCAAGAAGGAGGAAGTCAGCACCCCAATATATTTCCATTGGGTTTGCAATCTCTTTCATCAGTTCCTCAGTAGTCAGTTTTCTCCTCACTTTCTTTCCATTCATAGTTGAAAGAAGACGAAGGTTCAACATCAACGATCGCATTAAGGAACTAGGAATGCTGATCCCTAAAGCTGGAGACCTGTAAGTTTTGCTTCCTCTTAGAGAGAGCAACAGAGATTACCAGGCTGCGAAAGAGGCCATGGGAATAAATAAATTTTCCAGGACGTTAATCTGGGAAATTATGATTCAGATGTTGTCACTGAAAATTGTATTTCCCCTTTGATCTCAAACCATTTTACAAGAACTCATGTTTTGTCTCAGAGTAAAAATGCCAAACTTACTTAAGCCTTAAAACAAAATATTCCCCAAATTGAATAGAACTTAGTGTTATTGCAGAGTTCAGATTTAAAACAGAACCTTTTATTTATGGGTGGTGGTGGTGGTTGTTATGGTTGTTGTTGTGCTTCTATTTAAATTTCCTGAAGTGTGTAGTTTTTTTTAATTCAATAATTCTTTACTGTTTGAGATTAAAGTAATCATCAGTGTACTCTTATAGGCATATTAAACATGGCAAAGGATCTGTAGTGAGGCAGCTGAATCCTTACAAGGAAGGCTAGAGAAGAAGTGCAGGGTGGGTAGAAGTGGGAAGGCTGAGCCGCTTCCTTTGCTTATGCTCTTCCTCCCCAAACAGGCCTTTTTAAAGCCATTTTTAATCGCAATGGAACTCGGTGAGGACCAATAATCACATCTTGGATTTTTTTTAAAGAGTTTGTTTTAAAGCTAAAGGAAAGCAATTTGGAGAGGAAAGCATGGGTGCGCCATGGCCTTCCCCTTGTCACTGCCCAGCCTGTGCTTGAAGGCTCCCTGCCCTGCTCGGTCATGAGCATGGAGCGTTTGATGAAGGCCTGCTCATGTTTCCTTGAAAATAAGCAAGAACTGTGCTGTGACGGGCTACATCAAATTCACCAGCCACGGGGTCCCTTACTTTTATACACATTCTACCACCATGTGCCCTCCTGAAGAGCTGAACAAAACTCCCGTGATTCCCAGCCAGAACATCTGAAGGACACCATGTTGGGGAAATAGTTTTTCTGCATTGCCACTGTCTCCTTGCTCGAAACTGTCAGGGAATGTTTAAATCAGTGCTCCCCAAAAATGGATTAGTACAAGAAGGAACACTTCTGTGATGCAGCAGGAGGTGTAAATCAAAGCACCAAGCCAACTAATCAAAGCAACCAGCAACATCTCTGGTTTTGACCTATAATATAGAAGAAACTATTTAATGAGAGGCTATATTGTGGTACAGTGTGTGCAAAAATATTTTCAGGAGTCTTCACAACTAAAGAAAATTATAAATTCAAACTCAGAATAGCTGAGAAGTTTGAAATACTGAGTTCTCTTCTTGGCTGCAATGTGTGAAAACAAAACTGCTTCCTACAGAAAAATGAATAGGATTTATATTCTCTCTGCCTTATCTCAATTTGATCAGCTATTTCGGATTGCTCATGTGCAGTATTTGTCAAACAATCCTGATGTAATACTCTTGTGTTAGTTTATTAAAAACAGTAGCAAAGGGTTGTTGCTTAAACATTCAGGGAACTCCTCACACAACCAGTGACTATTTAAGTGAAAGTTCCAGGTTAACAATTTATGGGTTAATTTCAGGCTGTTATTTGGAAAGAGCTTTGCCAGTATGTCCTACGTCTTAGTATGTCATATGGATGACTGGTGGCACAGCTTAAAAAGTACACCTGTCTAAGAAAGTTAAGTTTTCTGGAACACTGCTATTCAAGGGGCGGCATAGAAATGTTATAATAATAAAAATAATAATAATCGAGTCAAAGAAGAACAGTCTTTCATAACCTGGCAGCATCCAGAGGTGTTACACTTCAACTTCCAGTGTTTCCCAGTCAGCCATGTTGGCTGTGAGATACTGAGAGTTGGCGTCCGCCACATCTGGAGGGCCCTGGCTTGGGCAAGGCTGTGCAAGATGCACATGATGTCTGTACATTTATAACGGCAAGGTGCAATTTCTCCTGTGCCAGCCTGATTTTTCCTCTGTGAGCTTTCTCACTGAAGGATGTGTTAAAACAGAGAAATCCAATTCATTTGAGCACAGTGGATCCACTGCCTTCTTCTGAATCAGTCTTCAGAACCAGACTGAGTTGTGGTCTTTTTTGTGCTCTTCCACCTCTATGATGGAGTTCAATGTGTGCGTATTTTTAACCTTTACGTATGTGCACAAGTAAGCCCCAAAGTGTGTGAATCGGGGCGTTTTTACATGAATAAGGCACCCATACCATTTGCACAAATTACAATAGAGCCATAGGATTTTGAGGTGCTTATTTGTACACATTTTATTAGTTTAAAAAATGCAGAATTATGGGCCATCTTAGAGACAGAAGCCCATGAGCTGGCTCCACTCAGACCAGTTGGTACCAGTGAAGAGCTGGAATTGTGGAAGTGGGGGCTGAATCATGTAATTCTGTTGAGTTCCACTCCCCACTGAATTCCTAACACATCTCTATGTTTCCCCACCTTCAAAAGAGAGCTGCTTATTTTTAGTGGTTTAGTGCTAAGACCCAGTCTGATTGCCTGGAAAGATTTCCAATGTATTGCCACTTTAGCTTTTCCCTTTTACTTAGAAACTTTTAACAATAAACATTTAACAATAAACATTAACAAACTTTTAACAATAAACAAAAACTGTCCCAGCAGCTTTCAGAAATCTGGAAGTAATCCTTTCAGTCTCTAACATTCTTCTCCCATGTCTTATTCCAGGGATGTGCGCTGGAACAAAGGGACAATTCTGAAAGCCTCTGTCGATTACATCAGAAGGATGCAGAAGGACTTGCAGAGATCACGAGATCTTGAGAATCATTCTCGGCGCCTGGAAATGGCAAACAAGCAGCTCTGGCTGCGTATACAGGTGGATCCCCATCTGTCTGCTTTGTGCTCGTAACTGCCAAAATAACTTGACTGTGTATAGAAATTGTCTTCCTTTTATCCCCTCACTGAGGATTTAGTAGCTCACATCCATTATGACCTTCATCTACCTCCCTTTAATAGCTCTGTCTAATACTCTTATGTTCTGGGACAATATGAAAGAGGTTCATGGCCCTGGTTGCAAAACAGCTTCGTAGTGTGGCCTTCACCCATGCGTCCTCTCCACCAGCAGTATGCTTTTGACATTTGATTGAAGGCCAGGTCGTATTCTTGCCTTTCTTGCTTTTGTCCAGTCACTCATGGCTCCCTTAGGTGTGTTTATATGTAGACCTACGAGGCAGGAACATCCAGATCTTCAGGCTGAAGAATAGTTTATGGAAGTGTTTTATTTTTGGTTTGAGTTTTTTAAAGCTGTGCCATCCTATATTCACTTTAATTATTTAAACATTCAGTTGATTAATATGCACTGTTGATATCCAAATATTTAAAACCAATGTTAATTTAAAAATAAACCCCTATATACAATTAAAAATGAGATATTATTACAGCCTTCCTGAATCTGGTGCTTTCCAGTAGTGTTGGACTTAAATCACTAGCCAGCATGGTCAATGAGAATTGTGGTCCAACAGGCCTGAGTACTCCAGGTTGGGAAATACACATGATGAAGATCAAACCTATGAAAGCTGATGCAGCAACAGTGTCCCAGCTGCTTTCAGTTAGCAGCTGCATGTGGTTCTCGAGGAGGGGCTTCTCAAGCATGCATCGCAGAAATGGATCACTGAATGTTTGCTGAATGACTGTTTATTCACAGGAGGCTAGCTTCTGTATGTCTTGCTTTTCATATAAGAACATTTCCTTTTTGTACCTTCTTCTAAAGGAGCTGGAGATGCAGGCTCGAGTCCATGGGCTACCAACTACTTCACCTTCTGGCACGAGCATGGCTGACCTAGCTCAGCAGGCTGTGAAGCAGGAAACCTCTGGAGAGGAGGGGACAACTGAGATCCAGCAGCAGGCTCAGCCCCATCCAGAACAGGAAACTCAGCACCAGCCTCACTTTGCTCCTCCACAGTCTCCTTACCATCAGCTGGACTTTACTCACAACCTGAGCTTTGATGACAACTCCAGTGGCTTCCATGACCCTCTGGACGCCAGCCAAAATGTCTCCTTTCCTTCTTTATCCAAGAAAGAGCTAGACTTGATGCTAATGGAGGACACCATGCTTCCCATGGCTTCTGATCCCTTGTTCTCTGCTGTATCCCCAGAAGCTTCAAAGGCTAGCAGTCGCAGAAGCAGCTTCAGCATGGAGGAAACAGACATGCTGTGATCAGAAGCCTCCAAGGGAAAAAGGACTGGGAGACTTGTTTGTTTGTGAAGATGTGTCCCTCTACCCTATCCCTGCAGACTTAATCAAGGATATGTGAGACTAAAGAAAAATGCAACCTGGACTGGAGACATTTTGTGTGCAGATGGGATGGGGGATCTTCAGCACAAAGTTCACTCCAGATCTTGGAATGCTAACCCCAAGCTTCTCTTCTGCCCTGGTGTGCCAAAATCCGAGCAGCCTTGCTACACCCTTTCAGCTTTTCTGATTCCTGCAGTGTAACTCAGGTGCCCTGTGCCTTCATACCACTTGTCCTGCCAAGCCACTTCAAGCATTTTTGCAACAATGTGATTTCGATGTTGATTGCCAGGCAGCAGTTTGTCACGTTTGACAAGCAGCTGTAACCAAGGCTTGGGTTCAAGGCTTGGTTAGCACAAACCAGTGAGTCCCTTAAGCCTCACTGGGCCCCCACCCCTTTAACTAGTACCACCAACCTGATGGGAGTACTGGCCTGCTTCAGGTGCACTCCTGTGTTGGGGTTACCGTCATTCTACAGAGCAGGGATATTTGGTGCACTCTGCAAGAGGGAGAGTGTGGTGCTACTGCCTAAACATGTATGATGGTGGGTGGTGATTTTGTATCAGTCCTTTGGGGAGATAGAGGAATAGTATTATCACTCTGACAGAACTTTTCTAAAGTTAGAAGCCCGGCTGAGGTACAGCTGGCTTAATTAACTTTTTGCAGCTTTCAGAATGCACACTCCACTAAGTCTTGATGCAGACATCTAGTCTGAGTCTCCAAAGCTCAGGGTGTAGAAATCTAATTTTAGTTTAGACCCTTTCTCTGTTTTCACACATTGTTTCAGCTACAATCCTTGAAATCCAGAAGTGCATACAGGGGGAAAATTATGTGCAGAACTGGAGAGATGTCAAAGATTTTTACTAAATCCAGTCACCCAGGAAAATAAGCAAATTGCTTTGCCATTTAAAAGCATGATTGGCTTTAGTTTAAAATATTGCTAAATTTCTCCAGCTATACATGTGTTTCTTCCTCACCCATGTGTACAGCTGTTTGGGCATGCTGTCTTTATCCACCTGAAGTTTCCATATAAAATGCTGAGACTATAGCCTGTCAGTCTAGCCAAGAGCCATCTTTCCGTCAGCTGATTCTGTTGCTCCCCTTGTGCTGAATATTATAGCAGTAGCTTTGCCACAAAGACATATATATTTTTAGAACCATACCAGTTCCATCTTTTCCCCCAAGTTCCCCTTGCTCCTGAACTCTCCTTTGCACTGTTTTTTTAAACTTGTGCAGCTAATCTAATGCAAACTCTGGTGTGATTCTGTGGATAGCTTCATAAATACAGTTGCATATGTCAAATATCTGGCATATGATGCTCTCCAATTAGATGTACAAGTATTTTCAATAATTTGAAAGCAACTTACCAGGAGTGAAAAGCAGCCACTTCTCTGTGGCTTGCCATGTCCTAGTGATTGCCATAAATCGGTGTGTTTGCACATGTGCTTGCATCTGATGAGGAATGCCTTGCATACTTAATTCTTCTGCCCGTACACATCTTATCCTGAACTTTCATTATACTGTTCAGATGATACCCTGCAAAGGTGACCCTCTTATTTTCATATTGCTCAAAAAAGAGAAATTCTATCAGTTCCGAAAGCATGTGCCAGTCTTGGTTTACTTCACAGCCCTACTTTGACTGTTTTGTTATCTCCTAAAATCGATAAGATCACTAAATCATTCTTTTTCGAGTCTAAGCTCCCTACATTTCTACCATATATTCTTGGGTTGTTTGAAAATGACTGGATTTTATGTCTGCCATTAGGGATGCCAGAGAAATCTGCAATGGGTTCAAATGAGTTCAGATTTCTAAGAATTCAAGCCATGGAGTCCACAGTGGAGTGGCTTTTTCTGAGTTGCATGAACTTGCAGACTGTTCTATTTTTCACAGTTTTACTCAAAATAAAAATAGAAAATGTGCATTTTCCACAGAGGCTGAAGCATGAAAAGTCACATTTTTCTGTGACCTGGGATGGGGGATTCATTTGCAGGAGTGCAAATTTGTGAAAATACGTGCAAACACATTTGCACAAAATATGATTCTGCAACTGAGTGAATGATGGAACAAAAAGTGCCTGACAATCCACAAAATGTAGGTGCAACAGATTTTACAAGGTCTGTACCTTTCTACTTGCCATAAATCCTTCAGTTTCTCAGGGCATTTTGATCAGGGCTCAAGAACGGCATGGTGTACTTGCAGTTGCAGTCCCACAGACCTTAGTGCTATTGTCCTTGAATTGCCGTCTTTGCAGTTCTTCAGTCTCCTCGGTAGCTCAGGAAAGCTGGAAGATGTCAGGACCTCCTTGCTTGCCTTGCACTGTGTGTGTTGCATCTGCTTTTGCCATCACATGAAAAACCCCTCTTCTACTATGACTTGCTTCACACACACATTGCACAGAGACTTAGTTTGATGTTTTTGACAAGAGCAATATGCTCAGTGCCTGAATGTAAGTTGTCAAGGAATAGTTCATAGAAGGGATGTATATTTTAATTGTTTAATCACCTTAGGGTAGATTGTAGCCCTTTTCTGAGAGAGCACTTAGTGACATCAAGCCTATGAAGTGTTGGATGGACCTTGGCTCCTACTAAGACAGTGTGGGTAACTTGTGGCCCTCCAAATGGTTTGACCTGCAGCTCTTTTCAGCTGGCATAGCCAGTGGTGAGGGATGACAGGAGCTGTAAACCCAAATGTCTGGAAGGCAGCCAGCTGGGGGGGAAGGGTCTTGATGGCTAATTCAGATTAATGTTGTTTTAATCTCAATTGCTCTGTGAGAGGATATTTTTGCTTCTCAGAGGAACAAGTGGAGAGATCTGGTCAGACGGGGGTGGGGTCATGTGGTATTTGTGTATTTGGGGAAGTGTCAAATAATATTGTTTGGTTTATTATATTAAATTTGTTAGTCTATTCTAGTCCTTTTGAACTTGCAGCATGTATGCCTTAAAGGCTTTGTTTAGGCTGTGTAGAACCCCTCTCTTCATTTGGGTCTGTGGAGAAAGAAAAATAACTTATCCTGTCATGAAACAAAAATTGTTCATGGGGATTTTAATTGCAAAACCAAGAATGATCAACCAAAGAACCACGGATAAGTATGCTCCTTTTTGGATAAAACTGTGCCTTCAATATCCCATGACTGTCTGAGTGGTAGCATTTGAGGATTTTTCTGCACAGATAGCCAAAGCAAGTCCTGGCTCACTCTTTAGATAATGGTAATAATTTATATCCCAACTCTTTTTGTCTTGCGAGGAACCTAAAGCAGCTTACATAGTTCCATTTTATCTTCACAACAACCAGCTGAGGTAAGCTGGGCTGAGAGTTGTGACTGGCCCAAAGTCACCCAGTGAGCTTCATGGCCAAGCGGGGACTAATGCCCAGATCATCCAGGTTCTCTCACCATCACACTGCACTGGCTGTCCCACACCACACTGGCTCCCCATCTCTGTGGGTGCACTACCACCACTGTGATACTCTTACAGCAACCTTTCCATCCTGTTGCAATGACGCAATGTTCTGCTTGCACATTAGAAATAAGGAGTGGGGAATGTCCTGTTACAAGAGAGAGAGCACAGGTTCGGAATATTTTGTTTAAATCCAGCTATACAAAATGCTGACAAAATGTCGGAGTGTAGCCTTTCTGGGATTTGCCTTAGAAATGTGTGACTAGATGAGGACACATTTGCTGGGTTGGTACAGCTGGGGAGGGTACCGCTTCCAAAGGATCCTCCTCCTCCTCAGGCTGAAAGTTCACCAGATGTTACTGACATGGAGAGAAAGCACGTTAGTCATTTCAAATCACACGATAAACAAAATCCAGTAAAAGTTTACGACATGCTTGTAAGTACATTTCATGTAGCATTCGGAGAGCATGAGGAGAAGATGACAGTTTTTCTCTGGGGTAGCTGCTGGATTTCATTACTAACAGAACTTGGGCAGGAGCATCTGGTTCCATCAAATCGGAGTTCAATATTTCAAATTTGTGGAGGTTGATGAAGCCATGTACAAAGCTTTGGACAAATCTGTTGCAAGTTCATCCAAGGGATTTTTTTAGTGTTATGAATGCCATAGCAATGAACATTTTATATTACTGAGATAACTGTGTTCTGAAAATAACGTACTCCTTTTGTGCCAAAGCACCTCCTTTAAACTCAGGCAATGTCACTGTTTTGCACCACAAGGACCCATTTAAAAGTCTGACTTGTTTATTTTCCAGTTCACATATATCTCATTCTGAGTCAGAAGAACAGAAGACTTAAGGCTATGATACTGTTGATGCTCTGTACCCTTAGATGAAATATGCATGCATGTGAATATCTGGGGCCTTGGCCATGCGTGACTGGATGAGGTGTACCTAGAACTGGGCATATCTGGGTCAACAAATCTTATAGAAGAAGCACTTTTCCTTTTTCTACAGCAACTAGAACAGTTGCAGGAATTAATATGCTATCCAAATGTGGTTGCACTGGTATCATGAGCATATATTGGATGGTGCCTGTGATATCATTGCAACCAGCAATGCAAATTTCTTCTCTCCCTATATCTATGCCATGTTCGGATATTTAAATGCCTAGCTGTTTTATTTCCATTTTCTCTTTTTCTTCCAGAGGTCTTGCACATCCACTGTCTAGCAGTAGATTGCACATCTATTCTACATCGATTCCATTATTTTAAGCAAGATACGTTTTCCATAATAAAGCTACCTCTGCCCCTTTCCACCAGCTGGGGATGGGATATAGTACTAGTGGTGGTGCACTGAGGCTACTTCGGCCCTTAGAAAAATAAGTGCATGTGGAAAGGCACGTGTAGTCATGTGAACATGTTACGCCAGCCAAATCAAAGGTTGGATTTAGATTTCACGTGGTAGTGCCCATTGCAAAATAGGAATACTATAAGGGTCTGTATGAATACACACACCGGGAGAAGTAATCTGTTGAAACCATAGAAAGTATTGACCAGATGATGCCCTAGCTCTTCAATGCCAGAATCTCTGTGTTCCGCGGATCTTCTGTTGTAACAGATTTAGGGTGCAATCCTATGTGTATTTAGACAAAAGAGCCCCACAACTCTCAGCATTCCCCAGCTAGCCATGAGGAATACTGGAAGGCATAGAACTTTTTTGCCTGAAGATGCTTAGAAGTGCGCCCTTACCTGCTTTGGAATATGGCCCATAAAAGCTCAGCAACCACCGATTTATATGAGGCTTCCATGGAAGGATAGTGGGGATGCTCAAAATCAAATGTAGGCCCTCTAAGATGTGTCTGTGCTCTCTTGAGCTAGAGAGTATTTTGAATTCCTGCCAAATGCCTGGTAGTGTGCAGGTTAAATCTCTGCAGCAACTTGGATGCACAAGTTTACTTCTTATTGAGGTGTTGTGCATCCTAGGCCTCATGCACTTAGACCTTCAAGAGAAGTAAAAGTTCCTGTGATATTAGAAACCTTGGTGGACAAAAAGAAAGCAGAAAGTTTAGAGTTGGTTGGTGTTTTGCAGTGATCTAGTGAAATAGCACATAAGAGCTCAGTATGTATTAAGAGGGTGCTTCTGTTGGTACAAGAAATATACTGGAAGATGGATGTGTTGTACAAGTTGCTCTAATATCTTAAATACATTTTAATGTGATAGAAGAAGACAGGGGATAACTTATGGCAAGGTCATTTCTCAATCCATTGTAGACCTTCATGTTCATGAGGTGCTTTTGCAGACACAGAATGTAGGGATTACATGCATCATGCAGTGTGCTGACTATTTTACAAGGTATGGTATAGAAACAGGAAGTGAATGTAATATTTGCACCCAAAGCCCATTTTTTTCCTTAGACTTCTTTTTCTCAGGATTTAAAACTGTAGTATATGTTTGTAGTTCCACCTTATGAAGAACAGAAGAATGTAATAATCTCCAAAACAAAAAATAAAGATTAAAAAAGAAATGCTGGGTCAACAGGTCTTGCAGTGTAATCTTGTGCCTGCCTGTTCAGATGTAATTTCCCTGAAATTCAGTAGGCTTTACTGCCTAGTAAGTGTGCCCAGTTACAGTGAAAACTTTGTATGTTTACTCAGAAATTAATCCTACTATGTTCACTGAAGCTTACTTCTGGATATGCATCAGATTGTAGCCTTAATGTCTGTTCTGCTCATTACGTTCAGTTGAATATGATTCAGATCCAGAAGGCTTTGAAAAGTATGTGGATTTGGAGAGAGATAAAGCAAAAAAAAAAATTCCCCCAAAAAGCATCTAGCAAGATGCTTTTTGAGACCTTAGATTCCAAGACCAGATGTCAAGTAAATTAAAAAGAGCCCTATTTTCTAAAATAATTGTATTTGGAGGTTCTTGTTTAAATACCAAGCTCTGCTGAGATGTTTCGTGCTAGAAGTATTTGAACTTTTAGTTAACAGCAGTTAGCAACTTTTGAAACTTTGAGGACAAATTTTTATATGTTCTTTATTCCCTACCACCATTATCCCTTCCATGCTAGCATACACCACCACAGAATATGCTTTCTTGACTTTATGGTGGCGTTGTATACATTGTATATGCAACAAGGGTTAAGTATTGTGTCTGGCCCCCAGCTGGAATGGACAAAAGGTACATTTTACTAAAATCCTTTCCAGTGTGAGAAGTGAGGGGCTGACCCTTTTGTGAGAATAAATCACAACTTTTTAAAATAATGTTGTTTTTTAGAAAAAGAAAAAAGAAAACTGCATCATGCTCTGATTCTGAAATGTTACTACTGTTTTATAAATAAATGTATAAAATAATGGACTGGAACAGAGAAAAATCATTAAAATTTATTTATTTACAATTGATGGATACATCTGCTTGTTTTGGGATGGAGGGAGCATGCCAATGCATTTCAGTAGCAATTTCTGTGTTGTGATTACAATATTTCCCTGCATTTTAATGGAAGAGACATGATATACCCACTGTAGCTTAGGGAAAGTGGCACTTCTTTTCTTTTTAAAAAGATCATCTTCAAGTGTTGGCTTTGTCCTTCCATTACAAGAAGAATCTTGAAACAAACCGTGGGTGTTGTAAATGGTTTATAAAAACTAGAGAGAAAGGAATCAGCCTTTTCCAGCCACTTCAGGAACATAAGACTTGGGTGGGTTGCAAGCCTTTTCAGAATGAAGTCAGTGGAAAGAACTGCAGTATATAGCAATCTGGAAAGTGCTGCTGTCTTTCTTGTTACTACGGATATACTTCCTTTCCTAGCAAACCTCAAAATGACCAGGGATGCACGCATGAGTTGTGCTTGAGGAGTAGGAGCACAAGGTGGTGCTATTGGCAAGGCAGTCTAGGAAGTTAAACCTCTCCTTCCCTCCCTCCCATCTGGCTTTCAGCTGCAACCTACTTTTCATCCACAAATGCATACAACTTTCCAGAATGTCACACCTTCTTTATGGTATGTGAAATTAACATACTATTGCTTGCCACTCTACAAACCTGGTGTGGCATGGTGTGATATGCTTGGAATCCATTCCACTGAGCAGCTAAAAGAGGAACAACACTGCTGGTTGCGAGCAGGCATGTCTTGCCCAGCATTGTGATCCCACGGTGGCCAGCCACATGCCTGTGAGAAGCCCACAAGTAGGACATGAGAGCAATATGTCCTCTTGCTCATGTTCCCCTGCAACCATTATTGGGAGACATAACTGCTGGTAATGGAAAGCAATTATTTGCTGGCTTATACCTGGCCAAAGTCCTCTGAAAAGGAGTCAGAATAGGACAAGCAGGCTCAATTCTTTATGCCGCAGTAATGCAAACACACTTCACTGAAGAGTACCTTAGAACAACAATGAGAGGGCGTTACCTGGCAGTGCTTCAAATGAGGGTGATCAGGGAGTAACCCCCCACCTCATTTATGGAATTGTATGTGTGGACTAAAAGATGCAGTCATCTACTTGTAACCTTCTTATGTTCCCATGCCACTTTTTCATCTTTTTTCTTACCCCCCAACTCCCCCCCCGCCCCAATATATGCAGGAGAAAAAGAAGGAATCAGCAGTTCAGTTCCTTCTAACTGGTATTGCTTGGATCCTTGCATCTGTAAGTACCCCCAGCTTGATAACATTTTATCCCTAAGGATAATGTGGTTTATGACATGCGTTGCTTCCATCAAATAGCTCAGAAGCCTGGAGAAATTGTTGAGTCATTTTAACTTTATGAACACGCTGAACACTGTGAGTCTGCTAATAAAAAGATGAGCACCTTAGAAATTGGTCCTTTGAATTCTAGACAAAGAGCTTTCTGAAAGAATGAAGCTAATAGAGGACTTTACTTTTCAAAAAGCCACAGAGCAAGACAATCTAAGTTGATCCAAATCCAGAACAAGGAACAAAGGCAACTTGGAAGTGATTTGAAAGAGGTAACCTCAGTTTCACAAAGCACAAAACAATCTCAGTAGCAACTTTGAAAAAGAAAAATTCACTCTTAATTTTCCTGAAAAAAAGTCCAAAACAGGGAAAAAAGCAATCCAGCCATTTAAAATATACTTTTAGGATAGAACACATAAGATGTGCAAAATTTAGCAAGATTAAGTTTGTTCTTTAAGATGTCACAAGACCCTTTGTAACTTTAGAGGAGTTAGCTAGGCTTTGTTTGTTTGTTTACAGTTTTTTAATATGTCATTTTGCTGCCATCTGGTGTACCTAGATGGTTCAAGAAGTGTCCACAGCAGTGGGCAGCCACATTTTCCTAGGCACTGACCCTCCCTGGGAGTGTCAGTGTGGAACAACCAGTAATTGCGGAATAGATTTAGAAGCAGAAGTTACACTTCTTTAGAGGGAAGTTACATCAGAGCTCTACATTCTTGTATGAAGCAGACAGCATTTTGTAGAGTTCAAGGGATTCCTTATTTGTGTGTTTTCCCAAACGTGGTTCCCTTCACATACTCTGAACTTCAACACCCATCAGCCCCAAGCAGCATGGCCAATCATCTAAAACTCTAGGAGTTGTCATCCTAAAAATCTGGAAGGCACCAGGCTAGGGAAGGTTATTTCCAGGAGGATTTAGCACACAACAAGCTGTAAAGAGAAGTTGTTTGTGTTTCCCATGTATCTGATAAAAGGTCATGACCTAAATAATCTCCCCAGTCATGAACAGCTGCCAGGATAGAGTTACTGAAAACAGTAGGAGAATCTTCAGAAACACTAACTGCACAGCATATAAACACCTCATGGAGTCCCTGTTCCCAAACATCACAAGGTGGAAACAAGGAAGGAATATGGCCTAATTAAGAAAATTGCCAAGCTTAGCTTAGGGTTTGCATCAATAGTCCTTGTTTCAAAATCACAGAATCATAAAAGTAGAAGGGTCCTTGGGGTTCATCTAGTAATGCAAAGTCAAGTAGAGCATCCCTGACCAAGTAGAGAAGTTCCTTTCATCTTTGCTTAAACCCCTCCAGCAAAGACAGTGCACTATCTCCTGAAGCAGAGTGTTCCACCGTCAGCAGTTCTTACCATTCAATCGGCCTCCCTGCAATTTCATCCCATTGATCTTAGTCCTGTCCTGTGGAGCAATGGAGAACAATTCTGCTCCATGACATGTTTCAGATATGTTTGAAGGGTCTGATCATGTCTTGCTTTAATCAACTTTATCCAGACTAAACATAGCCAGTTCTCATGATTCCAAGGGGTACCATTTTTACTTTTCTTGTTCTATTCTGTTCTGTTCTGTTCTGGGGGATTGTTGTAGACAGCAAGAAGCTTTCAGTGCACCTGGGAGCATTAAGATTCACATGATTCAAAGCATACTTGTGGATATACTGAGATTTAAATGGCTAGGAGCAAGGACAGTGTATATTGGGGCACTTGTCTCTTTTTTAATATATTCAAATAATCATAGACAAAGGAAAACCTAGACGATGACATCTGTTAGAAGTAGCCCTAGGAATTAAAATAAATATATACATTCTGTCAGGAAACATGGGTGGCACAGAGAGGGCAGCCCAAGAACTCATGCCAAAAATACTTTTTGGCAAAGGGTACAGAATTTGGTTCCCTAGATGTATTACAAAACTGCAGCATTTTGAAAACCATCAGTCCTGTGAGCAGTTACTTAAATACTCAGGGAAGGCAGCTTCCCAAAGATCCTTTCAGTTCGTCCATGAGGAATGGTGCACAATTCCAGACTGTCCATTCTGGACAGGAACTGTTTATGATTTTGGAAAGCACATGGTTACAACTGAAGCTACTTAGCAGAGTTCACCTACCTTCATCTTAAACTATCTGATCTGACTACTGTACTTAGTCCAGGCCCAGAGTAGACTATTTAATATGGTTGGAGCCATAACAACACTGCACTGTGCAGAGTTAAAATTGTGTACAGCAGGACCCCTTGTATCCACTGGTTCAGTTACCATGTTTTTACTTAACCATGGTTGACCTTGGTCTGAAAGAGAAGTTGTAAAGTGCCTCCTTTAACTGAACATTCCCAATTTAATACAGAAAGAAAAAGCAGCATATGCTGAGGTTGCTAGGATGTATGGTAAGAATGAATCTTCTACCCATAAAATTGTGAAAAAAGAAAAGTATATGTTCAGTATATAGTGTTTACTAATATCCAGAGTTTCAGGCATCTGCTGGGGGGCTCAGAACCTATCCCCATGGAAACAGAGGATCCTGCTGTATATCTTTTACTGTAACCGTCTTAGCAATAAAGGCAAAGTAAATCATAATGATTTTATTATTTATTTATTATTTATTTATCTAAAAATTTCATCAGGAATAAAAACTTGTGCATTCAGTTTTATCACTGTATGGCAGAAATGTTTATGGGAACATTGAAAACTATTTCACCTAACACCCAATGCAAATTACAAGTTTCTCCCCTCCTACTGGCACATGGTGGGCATGTCATGAGCGGAGCCGGCTGGAGCCGGGGGTCAGACTAGTTGGCCCGGGAGACCCCTTCTGACTCACTCTGTTTCTATGTTTCTATGTTACTTCAAATCCCAATCATATGACCATATGTCTTAAATGTTGTGGGTCCTCTCTTCAGACTGCCTTCCAATATCTCCTCCTTTCCTTCCTTCTGTGTGTTGCAATCAAGAAAGGGTCTTTGAGTTGTGTGTGGAATAAGAAGAGTTGACTCTGCATGTGAAGGGATGCCTGGGCTTTTGGTTGCTGTTTCCCTGTCTGTGCCACAATGGCTCACACAGTGAGAAGTCTGTAGCATCTCCCACTGTGCAGGTTGCAGAGTGACAGGAGAGGAGCCATGCATCTCTCTGGCCTTCTGAGAGGAATGGCTCTTCCTGCGTCTACCTGAGGCAGTGGCATTATTTTGCCACAGCATTGCCACGCGGACTCATAACTGGGCAGCAGTGACAGTGTTGCCATGGTCACTGGAGATGAACCTATTAGTGTTCTCATTTGTGCTTTTCAGAGCAAGGCACTTCCTCCTCCTGTTCCAGGCTGCCTGTTAGGTATAGTAGATCCTGCAGCACCATAGTGATGGCACATCCCAACCACCACACTGGCATAGTGCAATCTACGGCTAATAACCAATGCATTTGTTATAAGTTGCCTAACTGTACCAGGTATCCCAATGCATTGAGCTCAGTAATGCATTGTCATGGTTCTAATGTCTTCCACGAAAGTTTCTTTCCTGGGCTTTGGGAGCTGCTTGGACTCTTCCATAAATAAAAACCTTGCTTTTAATATATTGGGGTTTTTAAAAATTTTCTTATCTGTTTAAGCTTTGTGCTGTTCACTGCTCTGGAATCTGACTAGATATGCAAAAATATAGCAAACACACACCCTCCCTTTTATCTTCTATTCCAGTTACTTAATTTTCTGCTTTTTAA